TCCTTCTTTCTTCTGCGTGTATTTCGTGGAATTCTGTAAGGAAGATCTGTCTCTTCTTCTCCAACGATTTGTTTAGTAGATCACTTAAATTCACATCAGTATGGGCTCAGGGATATTTCTTTTTGAAGTTATAATCCAGTGCTATCATTTATTTTGTTGCGCACATTGTAGCTTTGGCCATTGAGTTGGGAGTCCTTTCAAGTTGTTTTCTGTGTCCTTTTGACACACCCCTGTTCTTTTCACTTAGTTATTTCTGAGCATTTCTTACTTTCTAGCACTAGACGATACTTCGGGCTCATCGGTTGCATTTCCTGCCCAAGCCCTAGAATCAGCACTCAACAGAACGTATTGGAGAATGGTACTTAGAAACCAAGATTTGGGCCCTGGGTGTCCTTGTTGCTACTGGAGTGCCACTGTATCTAGGCCCTCTCAGCCGTATGTGTATATACGCACAGGCCTTTATTTATTTCTGTGTCTATCTGTATGTACAGTAAGCTATATTTGCGTTCATACTGCTGTTTCCCACTCTAATCCAGCACCACAGGTTCATTCTATCCTCCTCTAGGCTTATTTGTAACTTTTTTTTCTAACAGAAACCTTGCTCCTATTATCTCCTCTAGTATACACGCAATGTCCTGCGAGAAACAAATTTACCAACTAGAATATTCATCACGGTGCTTTGTCTTTAGCCACACAGTGTCCTGTCAAAATGCCTTCCCAAGAGGTTTAGTAGGTCAGTTCCTCTTCCCGCTGGGAGCCCTGGCAGTGCAGTGGTTAAGCACTCGACTGCTAAGTGAAAGGTTGGCAATGGAACCCACCAGCAGCTCCGTGGGGGAATGATATGGCAGTCTGCTTCCATAAAGATTACAGCCTTGGAAACCTGTGGAGGCAGTTCTTCTCTGTCCTGTAGGGTCGCTATGAGTTGAAACTGACTCTATGGTAGTGGGTTTGTTTTTTTGCCTCTTCTACCATTCTCGGGGCGCTCTACCATACATCTGTAATACAGATAGATTCACTTGTCACAGTCTGCTTTCCATCCTGGGATCCTCCAACATCCTGGGTGATATATTTTTTTTAATTTGCACATAGTAGAGTGCACTCTTTGAAGTGTACAGTTCTGTGGGTTTTGACAAATGCAGAGAGTCACGTATCCACCACTGCAGTATCCTAGAGAGCAGCTCCATAGCCCTGAACACTCTCTCGTGCGGCCCTTTGAAGTCAGCCCCCTCCCCTAACCACCGGCAACCACTGATCTGTTTTTCGCCCCTGTCCTTTCGCCTTTTCCAGAATGTCTCACAAATGGAATCAGACGATACGTAGCATTTTGCATCTGGCTTCTTTCACTTAGCAAAATGTACTGGAGAGTCAGGCATGTTGTCCCACAAAATCATTCGTTCATTTTTTCAGTCTGCTGAGCGGTAGTCCGTGGTATGTATGGATGGACCACAACTTGTTCATCCACTCGTCTGTTGAAGGATGTCTTGTTTGTCTCTAGTTTTTGGCAACTGTGAGTGAAGTTGCTATAAACATTCACATACAGGTTTTTGTGTGAACATAAGTTTTCATTTCAGTTGGGTAAATATCTGGGAGTGGGATTGCTGAGTCATATGCCATAGTAGTCGGGGTGCTCCAGAGAGAGAATGACTGATTGATTGATTGGCTTTAAAGAACTGGCTGACACAATTGTGGGGGCTGGCAAGTCCAAAATCCGTAGGTCAGGCAGGCTGGAAACTCCGTCAGGATTTCTGTGGAAACTCCGTCAGGATTTCTGTGTTGCAGTCTTCACGCAGAAGCCTTCTCCTTTCAGAAACCTCAGTTTTGGCTCTTAAGACCTTCAACTCATTGAATGAGGCTCAGCCACATTACTGTGGGTTATTTACTTAGAGTCAATAGATTGTAAGTATTAATCACATCAACAAAATATCTTTAAAGCAATATTTAAACTAGTGTTTGACCAAGTAACCGAGCACCATAGCCTAGTCATGTTGACACATACAATTAACCATCACATGTAAGAAGTGTATTTTTACCTTAAGGAGCCCTGGTTGTGCAGTGGTTAAAGCGCTCAGCTGCGAGCTGAAAGGTTGGCAGTTTGAACCACCAGCGGTTCCATGGGCGAAAGATGTGGCTGTCTGTTTCCATAAAGATTACAGCTTTGGAAATCCCATGGGGCCTTTCTACTCTGTCCTTTAGGGTCGCTATGAGTTGGAATCGACTTGATGGCAAGTTTTTTTTTGTTTTTTTTTTTAATGTTTAGCTTTTATCAGAAATTGCCCAACTGTTTTCTAAAGTGCCTGTACTATTCTGTATTCCCATTTGCAACAGAGGAGAGTTCCAGTTGCTCCATATCCTCCTGAGTGCTTACGTTGTCAGGTTTTGCTCTTTGCTTTTAATTTTAGCCATTCTCTTAAGTGTGAGTCAGAATCAACTCCACTGCGATGGGTCTGGTTTTTGGTTTTCAATAAGTATGAAGTGATACCTCGTTGGACTAATGATAGTGAGCATCTTTTCACACGCTTGTTTGCCATCTTTTTTTTTTTTTTTTATTTGAGTGGTTTCCATTTTCATTGTCAAGTTGCAAGAAGTTTTCAATATATTTTGGACACAAGTCCTTTACCAGAGAGATGAGCTGCAGATATTTTCTCAAGTGGCTTGTCTTTTCATTCTCTTAACAGTGTCTTTCACAGAGGAAAAGCTTTTAGTTTTGGTAGAGTCTAATTCATCTACTTTTCCTTCTCTTACTGGAAACTAGTGGGATTTCTATGTTGCAGTCTTGAGGCAGAATCCACCTCTCAGAAATCTTAGTTTTTGTTCTTAGGACCTTCAGCTTTTTTCTCTTACGAATCAAGACATTGTAAGAAATGACGATGTAGTTGTGGGAACATTGGTGTCACTTCCGAAAACACATCACCAGGTCCAGGGTCCCACAGACTTTCTCCTGTTTTCTTCAAAAAATGTTAGTTTTGTGTTTACTGTAGATTTTTTAGAAATTATTTACAGTACCTTTAAAAATTTCATTTTTATGACTATTGCTGATCTCACGTTAAGCATAGACTAAACGTATTAAAATTTATATGCATACACAGCCCATATAAATATACACATATACATTTAGACATTTGCATTAGGAATAAATTTATGAGAATTGTATTACTTTGGAGTGGGCTAAACCTTTTCATAAAGGAATAGATACATCCCTTTAAAAATAATAAAACACCTTATGACTGTTGTTGGGTGCTGTGGGGTTGGCTCCGACCCTTGGCAACCGTACAGGTAACAGAACGACACGCCGCCCGGTCCTGCACCATTATCACCATCATTGGTGTGTGTGAGTCCATTGTTGTGGCAGTGTGTCCATCCATCTCATGGAGGGTTTTCCTCCTTTTCGCTGACCCCCTTCTTTACCAAACATGTCCTTTTCTAGCCATTGGTCTTTCCTGATGACGTGTCCAAGTAAGTGAGCTGAGGTCTTGCCGTCCTTGCTTCTAAGGAGTGTTCTGGTAGTATTTCTTCTAAGACTGATCTGTTCATTCTTCACCTTAATTAAGGTTCAAAGATCAAAGATAGACAAGGGAAGATAGCTGTGCCTCATATAATTAAGAGTCAATATTTCTAATATACAAAAAAAAAAAAAACCTACAAATTGAGAAGCAGAAAGTGCAAAAGAGAGGAACAGGCAACTCCACAGAGGAAATCCAAAAACCAGACCAGCCCGCGGGAAGCCGTCAGTGCGGGCAGGACAGGAGGCCGTTTCGCCCATGACAGTGGCCCAGCCGAGGATGCCCACAGGCAGGCGGGGCCTGGGTGCAGGAAGCTGGCCCGTCCACACCTTGCTGGCTGTGTCTGAGCGGCTGCAGCTTCCTGAGAAAGCCACCGAGCAACCTCAATGAAAGCGGCCGTGGAAGTGCCTCCCGCCCGCCTGCCCACCCACCCCGGCGCCAGGTTTCAAGAAGGGAGGCAGCTGCTGTGCCATCACTGAAGGAGTGGTTTACAGCAACAGGCTGACGTTGTCCGCCAATCACAGGAGGAATTCACTGTGCGGAGCCAAATGACGGATGACTGGGCCACTACTGTGTGAGTCCCGGGCTGGTGCAAGTGGCTAAGTGCTCTGCTACGGTCCCAAAGGTGCGCAGTTCGAGTCCACCCAGACAAGGCTTGTGCGTGTGCGTGGCACGTGCACAGAAGGGCACACTAGAGCGGGGACTCTGGCCTGCCGCTAATCCTGACTACCTTCGGGAAAGGGGGGGGTCTCTATGAGTTACTTTGCATTTTACTTAACTGTCTTTCAATGCAAACTTCACATGAAGAAAAACAAGTCCAGATGGGAAGTCGGGGCCGATTCACAGTCTTGGTGTCCACCCTGAGCCCCGCCTTTGGGGGAGTCCTCGAGCCTCCTTCGAGGTCCGGTCTGTTGACGTGGTAACGTGGCCTGCATGACGGCCAGGCGAGGGCTCTGTGGCTGCCCTCCCGGCTTGTGGCTCCTCATGGGCAAGAGTCCCACCATCTTGTCCTCTCTGGTCAGCCCTGGGTCACCATGAGAGTGACGGAGCAAGGTGGTGGGCATCACGCCTGGTGCCTGTGTGAACCTGGAGTCCTACCTGTTTGACTCTTGTCCCGAGCGTCAGGCTGTGAGCCTGGGGAGAGGCCTGCATCCCGAGGGGGCGGCACTGGGCCCCTGAGCTCAGTCTGCGGCCCAGCTACTGCTCTGAGGAGTTGTCACCAGTCCTCCTCACTCCTGGCACGTGGGGTCTCAGACATTTTGGGGCCATGTTAAGTAGCCCCGGCTATGATGTAGGCATGACCCTCTGAGCTGAGGGGTCCATGCACACTGTCCATGCCTCATGCTGTGGAGGAGGGGGCCTCACCCACTCGTGGATGTGGGTGCCTGTCCGAGGCTGGCGGCGCAGGAATTTAAGCCAGCTCCGGCCAGCCCTGGCCTGGGTGCCCTCGGCCGCCAAACCCTCCGAGGAAGCCTAACATGCTGTCTCCCCCTCCCACAGTGAAGAAGAGCCCCACGCTGCTGGACGTGAATGCACCCCACTTCACGCGGACCAACAGCTTCACCGAGGACCTGGACCTGGAGGGGGAGACGCTGCTGGCACCCATCACCCACGTCTCACAGTGAGTGCACGCCGCGGGGGCCTCCGCACCCCTGCCCTCGGGGACGCCAGGGCGGCCTCAGTGCCAGGCACCCGGCGGGAAGGGGGCATTTCCCGCCGTATCCGGGAACCTGATCCTCTTGTTTTGACGTTCGGAAAACCAGACTGATCCTTTTCTACTTGTTTCGTGCTTGGAGCGGCTGGATTGTTTTCCTCTCCCCTTCCTACTGCTGCAAAATCCAGTGGCCTTTGTTTCGCGTTTCTGTGGCACCCTGGCTGGGCCGTGGGCAGATGCGGGTGTGTCCCAGGGACGCCTTCAGGTGGAGGGGACAGCACAGCTGGCCCAGCGGGCCGTGAGCTCGTGACTCAGTGCACCCGGACAGCTGCCCCCAGGGAACCCCGGGCATGTCTCTGTCGGGATCGCGAGCCACCCTGCCCCTTTCCCTCTGGAGGGGCTCGCTGACTGCCACCTCCTCTGGACATGTGTCTCTCTGAAGGGTGTCTTTGATCCTCAGGCTCTCTGGGAGTCAGGCAGTTCTGACCATGTCCGTGTCAGGGTGGCCGCGGAAGCAAGGACCTGCCGCACTGACCACCTGCAGGACTGGTTGGCCACAGCAAGGCCAGAGGGGTGGGCGGGGTTGTTTTAAGGTATAGTTATGATTTGACAGGCTGCCGCATCCTTCCAGGCTCCTAGGCTCACGGGGTGGTTGGCAGTGCTCTGTGGTCAGCAGGGCACGGACAGGAGCATTCACAGGCTCAGAGGGCACAAGGGTCACTGGGACGTCTGGCTCTGGCCAACAGCTGGGAGTGGACGCCTCCCTGCTAGGCCCATCCGGGGGAAGCCTGGTGGCTGGCTTGGAAGATGGGTGGGCAGTGGAGGCTGGCGTGGGCACGGAGGGCCCAGGCAGAGGTCAGCCTGGAGGCAGATGATGGCCCGCCGTTTTGGCTGTGCTCCGCATGCGTCCAGGGCTCAGGGGAACCCTAAAGTGGTGCAGTTGGGTATTGTTGGAACAAGGGTGACAGATGTGTCCGCTGTGCTCAGAGCAGTGAGAGGTGCTGGTCGCCATGACCACGTGTGGGAGGTGGCAGACACCGGGGAAACCTCTCCACCCCGCCCCCCCCAGTCCCCACAGCCCATGTGATGACCGATGCCTGTCCTTACAGCTCCAGCTGCCTGGGACATGGCACAGCCCCGCAGACCCCACGCTCGAGGGGCGCAGGCCCCAGTGAGAGACCAGGACCAGTGCGGGGTCTCCAGGGGGCAGAGGGGGCGGGAGGCAGTTAGCGAAAACCAGATCCATTTTTCCCCAGCGTTTTACTGATGTTAAATGTATTACCACGCTGGGCCAGTTCCAGATCCAAATTAAAAGCATAAATAAAGACACATTTTGTTTCGATCTCGCGCTCCCTGCCCGGGGGCCCCCAGGAGGTGAGGTCACTGCAGTCTTGATTACGGAGGGTCTCTGGGACTGGGCGAAGCTCCCCTTTCCAGGGCCTGCTGGCCAGCAGTGCACCAAGGGCACGTGGACTGGGCAGGCTTGGGGTCCCCAGCGAGCAGGGTGCCCCATGGCCACTGACAGGCCCAGTGAGCAGGCTCCACGCCATGGCCACAGCCACCAGCCAAATGTCCTCCTCCGTCCTGCTGTGTTCTGCACCGTGTCCACGCCCACCTGGGGCCCTGCTGGGGACTTCTGGGGGTCCACCCGTTTGTGTCCCTGTGCCCAGCACATGGTGACTTGCCATCTGAGCCCCTGTAACTCATCTGCAGCAATCAAGTTCTCCTTGCTGTCAAACTTCTGGTCAGCTGCCCCTGCTCAGGGAAGTCCCCCAGGGTGCCCATGGGCCAGGTGGCACATCCCTTCTGGCTCTCTAGCCCTCTATGCCCAGCTCCCTGGGTCCTCAGTGGCCTGGGAGTGCTGCTCCCACCCTGAGGCAGACAAGTGCCCCGCAAAGCCTGACCAGCCCCAGAGGAGATCTGGGCACTGGGTCGGGCTGGGATGGTCTGAGCTTGGGGCCCTGTGTGGGCACAGGCTGGGCACACTTCTCCCAGCAGCCTTGGAAGCCTGCGGTGGTGCTGTGAAGCCCCCAGGATCCCCCAGCTCTGACGTGGGCCTCCACCCCGTTGTTGCACGTGGACACCCAGGCTCGTGAGGTGCAGTGGCCCGGGCTCCCCCCACCGACTGTGCATTTCTCGCGGGGCCTTTCACGAGGGTCTCATCTGTCCCGGCACCACAGATGCCTCCCACCCCAGGCCCACTCTGCAGGACAGTGAGGGCGAGGGCCAAATGCTGTGCGGCCCCCCAGGTGCCTGGGCCCCTTGGCCGCGCGGCTGCCGGGCCTCTGGCGACATGACAGCACGCAGATCCATGAGCAAAACCAGCCCCGCACGTTAATTAGAGTTTCCACGTGTTTAACTTTCTCCTGGCCCCTGCAGAGTCTCACGCCAAATGCTCCAGTTTCTCTGTCCCTGCGAGGCTGCGGGGCCTGGCTTTTGTCCAGATGGCTCCCAGTGTCTCCTGAATTCTGTGTTCGTCAGTGTCCCCAGTTTGGGCACAGACTTGGCCTGTGATGGCAGCAGCCCTTGGGGGGCCTGGGCCTCCGCGTGTACCCGAGCCCCCTCTGTTCCTCGTCCTGCCTGCAAACCTGGGTGGGAACGGATGGACCGAGAGGCCATGGGGCCAGCATCTGGGATGGAGCAGGGGCTTGCCAAGAACAGATGAGGCTGGCCTGGCCTTGCACACCGCTCTCCTGCCTTGTCCAGACCACCTCTGTCCATGTGAGATGCCAAGGGGGCCCCATGGGAGCCCGCCCGGGGGTCTGTGCGAAGAGGCGTGAGTCACAGGATCCCTGTCAGCCTCACACAGCCCAGGCTGCCTCGGAACTGCACGGGGGGATTAAATGTTCCCCTAATCAAATTAGGAGCCGGGCGGAGTGACGCATGGGAAAGAGCCGGGGCTGGGAATCGGATGCCCTGGATCCCGCTCCCAGCCTGCGCCGGCCCAGCTGCGCCGGCCCCCGCGGCCCCCCGACCTCCGCGCCCTCACTTCCTCATCTCAGCGCATGAGGAGCGCGCCCCAGCTCCTTCCCAGGGCCTGGTGGACACGCCACAGGCCGGCAGCCATGGTCCTCACCACAGGCCACTGGGCAGTCCTCGGCGACGCTGGCAGGGCCCGTGTGGGCCATGCTGGAGAACCCCTGGCACTGGGCAGAAGTGCTTCCATAGGGCGGGGTGGGGAGATGGCGCTGGTGTTGTCACGGAGACAGTCATGGCGGTGGGGGAGGGGTCCCAGCAGCTTCCCCATACGCTCTTCCTGGGCTCAAGGCCTGGTTAGGAGGCTGGGGGGTGAGGCCCAGGGGCAGGGCCAGCCCACCGTAGGCCCTTTGCGGCCGCCTCTGGCTAGGTTCAGGCCCCTACACCCGGTGGAGCTTTGGGAGCTTGGACTGCTGTTCTGTGTAGGTACTTTTAAGCAAGGCTTCGAACCAGTTCATTCTGGTTCAAACCCCTGCTGAGAATTTGCATTTCCACCCGCAGATACACTGAATCAGAATCCACATTTTCACAAAATCCCGGGTGATTCTTATGTATACTAAATTTTGAGAACCACTGCTCTACTAGTAAGGAGCCCTGGTGGTACAGTGGTTAAGCCCTCAGCTGCTAACTGAAAGGTCAGGCGGTTTGAACCCAGCAGCTGCTTCGCAGGAGAAGGCTGTGGCAGTCCGCTTCCATAAAGATTACAGCCTTGGAAACTCTATGGGCCAGTTCCACTCTGTCCTGTAGGGTCGCTATGAGTCGGAATCGACTCGACGGCAGCGTGTTTGGCTCTACTACCGATTCTCAGAACTGGTCCCCAACCAGCAGCGTCAGCATCCCCTGGGAACTTGTTAAAAATGCAAATTCTCACCAGGGGTTCCAACAGGAATGAACCAGTTTGAAAAGCCTTGCTTTGAAGCTTTATTGAAGGATACTGTGCATACAGATAAATACATAGATCACAAAGGTGCAGCTCAGGGCAGTCCACCCCTGGGGCCCCAAGGAGCCCCACCTGGTAAAGCCACACAACCTCCCCAGATCCCCTCCCACCTCTGACACCCCCAAGAGTCCCCACTGTCCTGGCTTCAAGCAGCACGGATCAGCTCTGCCTGACCTTGAGCTTCAGTGAGTGTGGGCCATGTTGGATCCTTCCCCGACTGGTGAGCTGAGAGACACATCATGTGGTGGAATAGGGCCACAGTTAGTTCATCTCATCCTCCTTGCTGGCTGGCAGCCATTGTGTGAACCAGAACCCAGCAGCTTACCTGGCTTACCCGTCCTACCGCTGGGGCAGTTTGGAGCTATTATAGTGAGGGCTGTAAGCATCCCATACACGCTAGTCGGCAAACACATGGTTGCACTTTTGGTGTGTTTACGTCTAGGTGTGGAACTGCAGGCTGTTGTGTAGGCATGCATTCACTGCGCATGAATACTGCCAGCCAGTTTCCCACAGCGGCTGTGCCCATGTTCACACCTGCCAGCAGCATACGAGCATTCCAGTTGCTCCACGTCCTCACCAACACTTGGTGTTATCCAGCGTGTCTTTCCAACCATACTGGGGGATGTCTGTTAATACTGCTGTTGTTAGGTGCCATCGAGTCAGTTCCGGCTCATAGCAGCCCTATATACAACAGGACGAAACACGGCCCCGTCCTGCGCCATCCTCACAATCCTTGTTATGCTTGAGCCCATTGTTGCAGCCACTGTCAGTCCATCTCGTTGAGGGTCTTCCTCTTTTTCACTGACCCTCTACCTTACCAAGCATGATGTCCTGCACCAGGGCCTGGACAAAGTCTCACTATCCTCACTTCTAAGGGGCATTCTGGCTGTATTTCTTCCCAGACAGATTTCTTCGTTCCTCTGGCAGTCCGTGGTATATTCGGTATTCTTCACCAACACCGTAATTCAAAGGCATCAATTCTTCTTCGGTCTTCCTTACTCATTGTCCAGCTTTGCCATGCACATGAGGCGATTTAAAACAGCATAGTTTG